TGTAAGCCCCCACGGCTGAAGCTTTCGCTTTCCCCCGCCCAACCGCATTGTTCGCATTGTGCTTCCTCTCTCGCTCGTTCCTGCATAAACATTCCCGCTCTCTGCTTGCCGAACAGATATATGCGTTATAGTTCGGCCTTTCAACCGAAATCTCTAAGCCTCTTCTGCCGCCCAGTTTCATATTTTGCTGCAACAATGAACCCCCGCCTCCGTTGCTGAACTTATTCAAAAAAAAAAAAAAAAAAAAAATAGCTCACCCTAGCGACTATCGAACTGCTGTGATTTATGACTTTTGTACATGCGAGGCTGTGTTTTGCGTTCCATCGCGCGCTTTAAAAGCCATCATTAGATTTTTACCCTCAATGCGAAATCGTGATTCGGTAGTTATAACTTTAATTTTGAATAAAGTTCGCAAACCATCGATATTCGTCAGTTGTCGCACGATGTTTGATGTAGTTTAACAAGAAGAAATTAAATGTTTACTATTCAACAAATAAATATTCAGAGTTAAAAATAAAAGAATCCAGTGATGCCTTCTTATTTCAAGACATGAGCATTGTTGTCACGTGAATATGAATAAATTTGTTCTCGTAGCCGTCGACCTCACAACGTACTTCGAAATAAAATCCAAAAGCGTGCTCGTAATATTTAACGCACGCAATGATAGCTCTCCAAGCTACGCATTAGATATCTATAAAGTTCACTATAAAAAATGCACATCCAAGCAATACACGCTATAAAAAACATTCTTAAGTTAAAGTGTATTTGCACAATAAGTATGCTGCAAATGCTTTTTTTTCAACTGTGGAGCTGTAAAAATGATCTGAAAATGGATATCTCTCTTGACTTGAGTTGACGAATGTTCGATAAAAGAAAATTGACACCTAAAATTATAATTCAGTATGAGAAAAAGTGAACAATGTATAAGCTCTTAAATTTGTTGCATACTTAAAGTAAGAACTGATTTTGTAGCGTACACCTGACCGAAATCCCACGTTACTATTAAAGCTTGGCAGAACGGTGTAATGCCTTCTCGCAGTCACATTACGACTATGAATTCGCAGTGGCATTGTTGGCTCTCTTTCTCTCCCTCTCTCTCTTGCTTCTTTTCTCTCATGCATATTCATCAAACGCTAATTAATCATCGCCCCGATCTCCTACCCTCCTCCTATTTCTTTCTACGCGTAAACTAGTACGTGTCGCGGCGTATTCGTGCAGCGTATGCGCACAGCGCCGGTAGAAATATGTGAACACGGGACCGAAGTACGAGCGTCCTCGTGTTTACCCTGTCACATAAATTAAGCCGGCATACAGATGGCGAAGTTAATGTTAAGAAAATAATTTATACTTGTCTATTGTAGGCGTACCGCTGTCACGCTCGTGGTGTTTCGTCACGTAAAAATCGAAGAACGAAGAAAGACTCGTTCGAAAGCTTGCAATTCGATTGTCGTGTACTCGTATACAAGTACGCGAAACGGCAAACTTACCCCGTAATCGTATTTATGCAGGAACTTGAATATATAATACACGCGATTTGACAGATTAAGACAGTTCAGCTCTCGTGAGAGGAAAAGTAGCACGAAAGCGCGATAAGTCCGAACAAGAGAATCCAGCTGAAAATCCAGCTAATTGCGTAAAGACAGTCAGAGGCCAATAAAGCAATCCTCGTTTCTTATGCCAGCTCGGGATACGTATACCTTAAGCTAATCGTTTACTTAGGCCTGTACACATGCTCTTGAGAACGTTTCTACATGCATTCATACACATACAGTCTTTCACACATGCACTTGCCCGTCGTTTGTTCGCGTTGCGTAATTAGCTGCCGTTTATTTTATACCCCGAGTTCGCGCACCAAAGGGGGACGCTCATAGAACGCTTCGATGGTAATGCGACGTGATCAGGGCATACGCACACCCTGTACACTTCCATTGATATTACATATAGATATAGACGCGACCGACGAACCGACCTCCTCCCAGTAGGGGATAAACATTACTCCCTATTTTCTCCCTTCTCGAAAGTACACACGTCGCGATGCCCTTTTTTAACACCGAACTCGTTTTCTTTTTTCATCGAGGTGTAGATTTTTTCACACTTTCTTTGAGCTCCTTTTCACAACTTTTTTCTTCCGATGTTCGAAGTTTGATCACGCGAATGCAATTTACTTTGTGAAATGTTCATCGCTGTCAGTCAGTTAAAGACTTGTCCAAAGTATTGTTAATCGCACTGTTTGATTTGTTCGATATTGATGAATGCATAATGCACATAGACAAGTAAAAAGAGGTATTGAATTTGCCATAAGAAAAACATTGTGCAAGTTAATATTGAAAATTAAATTTGAAACGTGAGGAGTAGCTTAAAACAAGGAAAAAATAAAAGAGCTGCTCCATTACGCAAAGAGCCATAAAATTTCCCTACACGCATCTAATTGACTTTGCAACGATTGACTATGGGTGTCGGAGCCCCGCGTAGTGCGGACAGTGAAAGAGCCCCTTTGGGGGCATTTAAATAATTCGTCGACTGCACCCGTATACAATATATCTATGGGCACAGAGGCGAGAAGGAAGAACCCTTAACAACGCAGCATCTGCCGTAGTCGGGCATCTTCTTATCGTCTCCCTGTATAAGTACCCAGATAAATATCCTGTGATTTTATCTGCGCAAGCTGAAGGGGAATACCGATATCGTTCGCCCTCGTAATCGACGTAATCATCATCGATTATGTATATGGAGAGGAAAAAGTGAGAGAAAGAGAAAGAGAGAGAGAGACCGCTGAAATTATTGTCTACAAGCAACCTGGAGCTGTCTTAGTCGTTGAAGATTAGTCGTGATTAATCAATTTCCACGTTTAATGACGCTTGTAAAGCAGATAATCGATCTGATCCAATCCAAATCGCAGCAATTAAAGCTAACTTATATTGGATTTATATTAGACATAAAAGCCAACTTCCTTCCCGCAGACGCAATAACAAACTATAAATACTATTGACAATGTACACATGATTGTTATCTTGATTATATAAGAATATCTTTCATTTCTTAATAAGCATTTAAGCTGAAAATAATAAGCAAAAAAGCTTAGAAAAATATTCAGGCAAATCATTTGCTTGGCAAGCATCGCGTCTTTCATGCAACTGTAAAATCTACGCAGTGTTATGACAATGGACATCAAATATCGCTCGTTAGACTAGGTGAGAGATAGAGAGAGAAAGTGAGAGTAGCGGCGCGATGGAGATTTTGGGGCGCGAAATAATACCCGCAGATTGCGGGCTGACAAATGAGCGGCCCCTCGACGAGAGATACAGCGCGCGAAAGACATATGGCCTCGTAAAAAAAAGAGATACACCAGACACAGGAGAGCAACGTTATAATGGGTCCGCTTTACGCGCCGTTATAGCAGACGCACTTCCTACTTGGATGCGATATTAATGGAGATCAAACAGCGCACATTCTGTCGACGTATTCTCTACCCCACGATCGCACGAACTGTTTGTTCTCGATCTTTTTACTTTTTTACTTTACTTTGCCATCATATTTTAAAGACGATTATAAATTGTTCAATTTCATTCACGGGTTCGATTGCAGAAATTTTCATAGCTTTATCGATAGATCGTAATCATTATTGCGCTTATTTTATTTCGTTTACGATGCTTTACGTACTTATTAAACAAGCTAATTTGTCGCGTACTACAGGCGCCGTCAGTATATAAAATTAAAATAAGTAATATCAGTGTTAAAGTGTATAACATAATGCACCCGGTTATTCATATTAATTTTTTTATATACATCGTTTAAATGGTCATCCTGTACATGTTATTTTTGCATAATATCTTTCATTGCCAATGAGACGAAAGGCATTATACATAAATCAAATTGAATTATAAGTTGTGAATATCTCGACTTTATCGTTTTTAGTACAAAATTGACCTTAAAATTAAACCCAAACAACATCATTAATTTTTTTTATAATAATTTCGATATTTATTTTTTACGCCTTATTCACCGTTTTATTAGCATTTTCTTATCTCAATATCACATTACTAATAGAAGAAGACTATGTAGACAGTGTAAACCAGTTTTTTATCGCATTTTTTTCGTTAACCAGTCTTCTACAGACTATAGTCGATAAGAATAATGAAGACTGATTTAACTTTTATTTTTTTACGAAATTTCAGAATTTAAAAATCTCCCAATACCTATATAAACAATATAAAAAAAATGTTAGAATTAAAATGTGGCACATTAAAGAATTCAAATTTTAATCAAGCAGATTTAAAGATTAACATTTAATATTACAATATTTAAATAAAAGTGTGATCGAATAATAATAATAACGATAAATGTAAACGTGAAAGTAATTAATATTTATTCGAATAGTAAATATATTCCAATTATTTTAGTCGATTAATTTGGTGACGTAAATCAAATGTCTCGACTATTTTGATATTATCAATCTTCTTCAAGACTATCTCATAAAATTATTTTGCGCGCAAGTCTGATTAGTCATAAGCAATATCATAAAAATTAACATGGCATATTGTCATTAGTTTCGGAGGCGTGTACATTCGCCTTATTGATGTAATTAATTTATTCTCAACCTTAGTAAACAAACTCTATGCAAATAATAAACTTTCTTATTAATTTGAGATTTCAGTCGAATAATGAGCGGCATGCATATTAATATTCTTAAATTACGTTGAAAAGATGTGTAGTTATAACGGCAGTCATTGTTCAGGTGGCTGTTCAGTTGTATCTGAGCACCTGAACATCTCTTATTTACTAAAATAAATATTTGATTTGGATAAAATAAGTACAATTTTCTAGTTATTTTTCTATCAGTTAGAATTGAATGTTCTAGTAATGATCACGCGTAAGATGTTGTGCCGATTTAAAATTAAGCTTTAAAATAATGAAACAAATCGATCCAAATTATTATTGAGATCTAAAAATTTCAGTTCAAAAACATTGTTGATGAAATCATTTATTTATCAACATTAGAGATGATACGTTCATCCAATAAGTTTGAAAAGTACTATGCCCAATGGCTGATGGCAATAGGAGGTAATGTACTACGCATTCATTTGATTAATTAATATATTTCTTAAATAATATATAAATATACTAATGTATATGTGATGATTTGTCAGTGACTATAATAATGGTCGAAATAGGCATATTAAGCGGTTGGTCCTCGCCATATTTAGCTCAACTGACGAGTTCTGATTCTCCATTACCTTTGACATTTGATCAAGCATCCTGGGTAGCGTCTTTATTGAATCTTGGCAGATTCGTTGGTGCTATTACTGGTGCTATTACTGTGAATTATTTTGGAAGCAAACGAACTCTGCTACTGACTTTCGTTCTAATCGGAAGCTGTTGGGCTTTCACAATGAGCGCCGACAATTTCATTTGGTTATACATTGCAAGAACATTAGGCGGGGTGGGATTGGGCATGACTTACAGCTGCTTTGCTCTGTATATAGGAGAAGTAGCGCTTCCGGAAATACGTGGGGCTGTAGTGTCTTTGGCTATGGCTGGCGGCGGTTCAGCGGGCATGTTGGTAAGTTGACTGCTGAATTTATCGATGATGAGTCGATGATAAGTGAAATATACAATTGATTGACGTTTCAGTTAAGCAGCATTTGCGGATCGTACTTTTCAATGAACATGTCCGCGGCAACTTTTCTGATACCATGTATATTGCTGGGGGCGCTGTTTTTCTGGCTGCCGAATTCTCCGCACTGGTTGGTGAAGATCGGAGATTACGAGAGCGCGAAACGTTCTATTTCTTGGTATCAGCCAGGCAACGATCCGGACAAAGAACTTGCGATAATAAAAAGCATGGTGGGTGTGTCAGCTTCCGAAGGTTTTTATCAGAAAATGCAAAAGTGCCGATCGGAACACGTCAAAAGAGCTATAGTTTTGATTGTTGTGCTTTTCACTTTCATGCAGTTGACCGGATTGAACAGTGTTTTATTTTACATGGAAATAATTTTAGCACGTAGTAAATTAAAATATATCAAGCCATCGCTCGTAGTTATTTGTGTTAATGCGTCTGGTATGTTGGCTTCGGCTATATCTGTATGTCTAATTGATAAGTACGGTAGAAAATTTCTGCTTATACTTTCGTGCGTTGGTGTTACAATGTCAATGTCTGGTTTAGCCGCTAATTTTCATTTTGTTAGAATGAACTTGGACATTTCTAGCTTACAACTGTTACCGATATTTTCAGTTTTTCTATTTGTAATTGCATATTTCATTGGGTTAATGAGTATACCGAGTACAATTCTCAGTGAAATTTTTCCGTCAGACATAAAGTGCATAGCCGGATGTATTGCAAGCTTAGTTGGAGCGATGTGGTCTTTTGCAGCCACTAAGTCATTTCAACCATTGGTAGATTCTATTGGCGAACCATCCGTTTTTCTGCTACATGGAATCTTTGCACTTATACTTATACCTTATGTATGTCTTTTCATGCCAGAAACTAAAGGCCAAAGTCTTCAAGAGATTCAAGATAAGCTTATGAAAACGTAATGAACTATGATTCGTACGTACTGATCTAAATTATTTCTTTATTTTATAATCCAAGCAATGATATTAGGATATAAGCAAACGTGCCTTATTATTTGTTTACTCATCATTTCATGACAAATTGTTCAAACAAATTAGAATAAAAACCATAGACACGTATGATTTAGTTATATAAACAACATACTGGTTTTCTAGTGTATCTGTATTATATTAATTGTAAATAAATCATAAACATTTTATAAATACTGTTACTCAAAATATCAGTTATTTCAAGCATATATCCAACTAAACAGTAAATTAAACTTCAACAATTTTATTCGAAATAAATGAGTTCAAATAAGGGTAATAGATGTTAGGATATAATACAACTTTGTGGTCACGTGGCTTTCGTAAGGGCATAAGCGCTTCGTGATTAAATTTTCTTTTACCCTCTGGGCGCCGACAACCTTGAGCAATTTCTCTGTGATCGTTCCTGACATATTAAGAGACAATGGGTACTGACACTTACGAAGCAATTTCACGTACGATTTCGTATTTACGATATACTTCCCACGTTTTAATTCAGCACAGAATTTTCTATCGAATTTCATTAATACTATGTATATACAACGTAAAAGCAGCGTTACACAATCAGCATTTCATTGTCGAGGAAAAGCGTTTCGAAGCAGTTGTCAAAGTTTTCGAAATGACCGTGTTTGAATATTACTATTTGCAAAATGTTTACCCATCCTACGTAATCTCACTTCAAATAATATAGCAGATGTCGAGAAAGTAAAAATGAAATACTTATATGTACGTATAAAAAAGCAGATTTTCTTAAAAGTTGATTGATAATTGATAATTAATAATTATTTCTTTACTTTCATAAATTCTTATGAAAAAAAATGTTGTGCAAGCTTTGAAGGAAAATAAAGATTTTTTTAAATTGTCGTATATTTAATCATATGAGTACCTGCATAAAGCTCAGAGTGTAAAATACTTACCTTTTATGTTAATCCAATCACATATTCGTGAAATATTATTTACAATCTGATTTATCGAAACATAGATAGAGTTATCGTTTCTTTTGTTTGGCAAATTAAAACTTTTATTTCTTAACTTTAGTAAATGCACGGTATGTAATTAGTTTTATAATACATCAATACTCAATAAATAACAATAGTAAAAGCTTTAAAATGATGTTATCTATATGGACGGTTGTCTCATACTTGTGATCGCGTGTAAGAGCGTGGGGCGCACACGCGCGTGCTGAAGGAAAACAGAGGGTAAGTTCTCTTGGTCACCTTGGCAACGAGAGGTATACTGTCGCTATTCGAATCTAAACAGAGAAGTCTCGGGGATGTTATGTCAATATCACTGAGGAGCTTCGCAATTTACTGCCTATTCGGACTTCTACAACGGAATTATTCCGTTTCTTTGATATTGCCTTTTTCTTAATTGAGTGATCGTTTCAAATGAAAATTATAGTATATCCAAATAGTTAAAAGTGAAATTTGAGTTTTCAGTTCCTTTCCACATACAAGACCAATATTTTCTGTAATAACTCTATACTGATCTCTTGTATTTCTTAACATACATTCCAATAAGGGCTATGAAATAAATATATAATTCGGTTTTTATTGAAATAAAAAGTTGAACCGTTTTTTCCGAGTACCCTTTTTCGCATAGGCTTGGCAGTATAATTTTTGAAAGTTTAATAAATTTTTACTATAATTTCTTTCTCATGATTCAATTGATTATTTAGATGAGCATTTTGATTAAATTTATTATTTAATTTTTATTTGCTAGATTAAATTGTAGTTTTTCAATAAGATTTTTATTATTTTATTCAATAGGTCTGTTTATATAACTATAACTATAATTAAATTCTTGCATCAATTATCAACGATCCGACATATTTGTGAAACTTAGGATAAGTAAAAGTACTTTATTTAATTGTATCCCAATCACCAGTGGTACTTTATTTAAGTAAAATTTTATAATAAACTCATACTATATAGTTAATAATAATAATTCGATATATTTTACTTATAATTAAACATTTTAATTCATTTATAAAAGTCTAATTTAATACGTTGTATTTAGTTCTGTTAACAGATAAAATGAATAATAATTATAACAGTTTATAATTAACATAAATTTAAGATACACATTATTGAACCTTGTAATGATCCATGTAAGTATCTGTCATTGATTTATCAAAACATTGGGCAATTGATCAGCAAAAATATGCAAAGCTTATTTGATAAACACTGTATGAAAAAACTACATCATCAAAAATGTGGCTTATTGCCGTTCAAGCGAAATTCCAGTTAATATCCTTTCGTCATTTAAGTCATTGCGTATGAGAGCTACATACACTAATCTATTTCAGATGCGTTTTAAATCATATATTAACTAATTTTGTATGCATTTATCAAGCGTGGTATCGGTTTGTTAGTTCGTTGTTTTTATTGTGTCGGTAGAGTGCAGTTCATCAGAAAATGAGAAAATGTTATGATAAAGTAGCATCTACGTATCCGAAGGAGTATATGTCCGTGACACTTACCTGTTCCGTGAATAATTTTATACAGTGGGATCAAGGTTTTGAAAAATCAAATATTCTGTGGTTTGGTCTTTGCATATTGTGCATTGGTTTAATGTTACGATGGTGGCAAATGAAAAAACGATACTGGGACTATTTCGCACAAATACCTGGTCCGTTTGCTTTGCCTTTCATTGGCAATCTTGTACAGCTTAATGTTGACCTTGATGGTAAGTTGATCCTTTTACACGTTTCAGTAGTCAATAAATAATTGTAGAACATATAATTTTTTGAGATAAAAATCAAACTTATTTCAATCTTTTGTTCTAATAAATATAATATTAATTAAGCTTTGAACATTAATTTCGGCCGCAACTTTAAGAAATGTCAGTGCGATTAGGAAATTTAACCAGTTTTAACGCATACAATCACAGCGTTTAAAGATGTAATATTTAAAGATGTAATAACTTCCACGTATAAATAATAATATAATACTCAAACTGTAAAAGAAATAGACGAACATAGGTTTAAAAAAATTAATAAATAAACAATAGAACTTTGTGAATATTTATGTAATACATTTTCACCTACAAATTTTGTACCTAATTCAATAAAATAATTTTATAGCGAGATTTTTTCATAGAATTCTCAAGTAATATTTTCATATTTATTGGACAGAATGATTAGTCATTACTTGGTAAGACATAATACGAATAAATAAAAATTTGAAGAATAGAATAATCGTGATAAAATTTTATTCGAAAAAATGTTTCCGCCTGAGAGCGAACTGGGGGCTTTACCGCGTGTTAACCGGATGTGATAATTACCACACTACAGAAATCTGTTTTTTGATTTTGCTGTGATTAATCTACAAATATTAAAATCTTGAATAGGGAACTAGAGTAAATGAAATATTTTTGTAAAAAGATGTTTCCGCCCGGGATCGAACCGGGGACCTTCCGCGTGTTAGGCGGATGTGATAACCACTACACCACGGAAACACGTTGTATATTAAAGTCAAAAATATATATTTTTAATTAATGTATGCTTTGAATATTTTGAATGGCACTATAACTTATGTTTTTTATTTATTAAAAGCATAATTTAATAAAAAGTTATTAAATATAATTTGATAATATCGAGTGTAAATAGGTTATAGACTGGCGAACTTCAATTGATAGATGCTGCCCTCTTTAGGAAACACGATATAAATATTAATCGAAATGCCTTAGCCCGATCGATAACACTTTACTTTTCATTTTTTTATGACAACAAATTATTTTAGTAAGTCTAAAAAAAATGTTTCTACTACTTTTTCACAAACTCGAGTATGTTACGTTGAAGAATATTTTTTGATTTATTTTCATCTTAATAATAACCACTTGAATGTTTGAATATAAAAAGTTTCTGATTTTTACATTGCTATTTTTACGTGTTAATTTAATTCTGATAATCAATTTAATTGGAAATTATAGAATTGTATTGTCTCATGGTGGGCATGCGACTGCTGTGGGGAAGTGAAGAAGGAATCAGTAAAGCATGGCTTGGACAAAAGCCTTACGTATTTGTGAGTAAAGCATCAACGGTGGAGCCAATTTTATGCAGCAGCCGTCTTGTCGATAAAAGCGAGGATTACAAATTCCTCCAGCCATGGCTCGGTACTGGGCTGTTAACAAGTTCCGGTAATAAACATGAGTACATAAATGTTCGCTTATTTTTTTCATGCGATCACCAAATCTGCTCAGAACATTGATTGTTATGCAATATGCATACATCAAACATTCGAGTGGGCAATATGAGAAATTTATCGTTTTTAATTGCAGCATAGAACTATCTCACATATATTTGATTAAAATAAACAAAATAATAAAAAGTAAATGAGAAAGTAAACGTATACGATTGATGTATATTTTTTTCGAGAAGTAGAAATTGAAAGAAAGCCATATTAGTTGGTTAGAGAACGGATATATCCGTTATCTTTTCTTACGGATATATCCGTAATCTGTTCTTCAACAAAACGATATCTGCTTTATAACGCGTGTGGGAGCGAAATCAGCATAATTAAATAACGTAATAAGAGAAATATTAAATAACATTATAATAATGACGTTGAAAAATGTGATTATAGGTGCAAAATGGCACTCGAGGAGAAAAGCCCTTACACCAACGTTTCATTTTAATATTCTCGAAGACTTCGTGCAGATCTTTGCCGAGCAAACTGATATTCTCGTGAAAAAAATAAGCTCGGAAGTGGGCAGAGCTTCGTTTAATATCTTCCCCTACGTGACCCTTTGCACTCTCGACATAATCTGCGGTAAGAGCTTTGAATAATTTGCCTTATTTCCACACTAGACGCTTTTAGTCTGACAATTATTGCAAGCTCACATGTAGATGTTCTCTCTCATACTGCACACAGAAACGGCGATGGGGCGGCGTATCTCGGCGCAAAGTCTTTCGGATAGCAATTACGTGCGCGCTGTGTACGAGTAAGTTCATTTCTCGTAATTTCAACACTCGTTTGACATGATAATTCGAACACGTCACTTTTTCAAATCTTGCAGATAAAATTTGGCCGACGTAAATCTATCGATGAGAGCATTTTGCAATTATAACTATATTCTATTATCCGATTAATTCTTTACTCATTTCTGTTACAGAATAGGAAGTATTGTTCAAACGAGGTCAGCAAGTTTATTTTATCAGTCGGATTTTTTTTTTCGGTTCTCATCGCTATATAGAAAGCACAAAAAATGTATTCGAATTCTGCATGACTTTTCAAAAAAGGTATAAACATTGGCACATCGAATAAAATTATTCCAGATACATTAGTAAGCTCTTATTCATAATGTACATTTTTGATGGTATAGGTAATAGCCGAAAGAAAAAAAGAAATTTTAGACGATGCCAACGAAATTAATGGCAACAAAGGTAGTAATTATTCATTATAATTGAAATATTCACTATTAAAAGGAATTTTATTATGTTATATGAATAGTTAAAAAGAAGCGACTTGCCTTTTTGGACTTATTAATAAAAGCATCTGAAAATGGATACGCTTTGACAGATAATGATATTCGAGAAGAAGTAGATACATTCATGTTTGAGGTATATTGTTTTTTGTCTGAGTCAGTTGTTGTTTTTTCACAATCGTCCTTTCAAACCTCTTATTATTAATTAGTTTGATATATGCTATAGAAACTGAAATTTTATTTAAAAAACATACGCAATGTAATTTTTTTAAATTGCCAACAAATCAGTTTTGATTGTATTACGATTTTCTCATACTTAGCGTCTTTATATGTTTTAATAGGGCCACGATACTACATCGTCGGCAATATGTTGGACTATATATTTACTTGGTTGTCATCCAGAAGTTCAGGTATTCAATTATCTAATTACGTTTGTTGGTCGATAATATACTAACAAAGATTGATATTTCCAGAAAAAAGTGGTCGATGAACTGGACTTAATATTTTCGCAAGGCTACAATGAGCGACAACCTACTCTACAAGACTTAAAAAGTATGAAATATTTAGAAAAATGTATTAAAGAGGCTTTGCGGTTATACCCTAGTGTACCGCTATTAGGTCGAAATATGACTGAAGATTTAAAACTTGGTAATGAATTTATAAAATATTAATTATCTAAAAATTTTAATGTATGCAGTTAAAAATAATATTTGTTTTAGGAAACTATATAGTTCCCAAGGGAACTACTGTTTTGATGGTCCTTCCAGTATTACATCGAGATCCAGAAGTTTTTGAAAATCCTGAAAAATTTGATCCTGATCGATTTTCATCAAAAAATTGTATTAAAAGATCTCCTTACGCATACATACCCTTCAGTGCTGGTACGAGAAATTGTATAGGTAAAGACTTTTATAAATGTATAGTGTATACAATACGACGCAGCCTTAGTAAAAGCATATTGTCAATTTTTACAGGCCAAAAGTTTGCTTTATTAGAAGAAAAATGCATCATTTCTGGTATACTTAGAAAATTTGTTATAGAAGCTGCTGAGCGTCGAGAAGACATTCGAATTTCAGCTGAGCTTATAATACGCGCAAAAAATGGTCTGCACATTAAGATTAAATCAAGATCAACAAAGCACTCTACGTTGTAGTAAATAGTATTAATGATATGAACATTTTTTCATAATTTTAGTTACATATTTTAAAATGATGTTGTACGATATCGAGTGGTTTTAATGTTATTGTATCGGACAATTTCATAGGCTCTAAATTTAATTTACTTGAACTCACGTTATTTGCATATAATTATATAATTCATTTTATATTGTTTACCGACATTCATTTATTATTCACTCGTCGTATTTAATTTAAGTAATTCTACTAAAAGTGGTGTCTCGTTGCGTTGTTGAGATAATGTCGAGTTCTCTCTTTGTACCCTACAGTCCACTCTACTAGCTTACGCGTTTCGAGTTTCGTCATGGTTAGCATGTGTTACCGCCGACTGTGCATAAGCGACACAACTGAGCCACGATTTCGTTATCGCGACTATCGATTATGTTTCGGTTCGACACTCGTCTCGTTTTTCTGCTTTTCTTTTTTTTCTCGCTTTTAAGACTAAGAGTGACGACTATGGCAGGAGTCCACAGTCAGTTAGCTGAAACGAGCTTGTACGCTCTCAGTTGTATCCTCCGTCAATTCATGAAATAAAACTCAATCATTCTTCCTTTAAATTCGTCATAATTTCCTATCAAATCACCTTTCGTACTGAATTAATTTTCATACGAAAAGCACAGACATTGTGCCAAAGAAACAGATGTTCGTAATTGCTTACATACCCTATTACATAATACATTGTTTTGTAGACATCTTTCAAAACAAATTGCAAACAATGTCATTGAATTTATATACATAAAATTACATTACCTATTCAATTATATCCCTTACAAGTAATATTTCACGTGGTGGTTTTGTAATTACTTTTACTGTTTCTCATTATGTATAATATACAAGTTGAGTGTTACTAAAGTTTAAAATTGGAAAAACCCACGCTCATCTTTGTTTGTGTAGTCATTGAGGAAAAACGCGTTTAGGAATCTAAAAATATTAGATTTAAAATTAAAGAGAATCCATAACATGTGTAGAAGAAAGAATATATTTTTCAACGTTATAATGAATGTTCTCTGAAATTTAATCTGTCATTAGAAAGAATAATATATATGCGAATCTATTTTATAGCTAGAAATGAATCTATCGTTTTGTTTATTCAATGTTATTATTTATTTAAAAATGTAAGTTTTGACGTTAACAAACATACCAACATATCCAATAAAAGTTTTTTGTAAATAAACAAAATTTTTTATTAATTTTACTTCGATAGCTATTGGAACATTTTTAAGCTTTTTTTATTTATCTTTCAAAAATTGGATTTAATTTATTTGAATTTTGAATAAATGAAAACTAAGTCAACGCAACTTATTTAGTGCTAATAAAAAAAATTCGAACAAAGAATTCAAATTTCGCTCTTCGTTGCGTGTCTGACGGAATAAGTAAAGGTCTGATTGGTTAAAAAGCGCCACGTGATATTCTATTAACGAATCACAAGAAGTGAGTTGAAACTTTCAACAGATAAACTTACACAAGCACATGAGTATGTAGTATAGAATAGATGCAGTATGACTAATGTGTCGGTCAACAGCTTGCCAGCTTGCCTGTAGCGACGCATAAAAAGAAAGAAGACTATCGGCGAACGTAGTAAGAGCGTCTGGACCGAGTAGAGTCAACGTTGTCGAAGTGTTTACTGCGAAGTTTACATATATCATCCACATTTATATCAACCACATATTATTTCTTCACTTCTTGATCTAAATAGAAGCAGTAGTAAGCAGAATAAGAGCTGAAGAATCAGAAAATAAAACTGGGAATAAGTAGAAGGAAGTAGAGACGAGCGAAAGTTCGCTCAGGTCATTATGAAGGAGTTCTTAGTTGTGCTATGTGCGATCCTGGCTGGTGAGTTGTTTTGTATTTTCGCGCAACGGTGACACTGGTTTGCACAGATACGAAAATAAGTGATAAGACTTCTTTAATTCTCTTTGTTATTGAGCGTCTGAAAACGTATTTCTAAATAAATATATTTATCAACAGTTTTTTTGGTTATATTTCTGGCTGAGCTCCCAGAAAATTCATTTACTCTGTTCAATTACAATTAGTCATGCTTACTACTATTCTCTATTTCTTTCTCTTTTAAGTTTTCCTGAGTCTTTATACTTAATTTCTTAATTCCTTGCTTGGTTCACAAAGTCACCCGCAATTTCGCGAAAATGATGAAATTAATAACAAATATTTTGTTTTGAGGAATTATCTTGCTAAGTGTAGGGTTATTCAAGCTAAAAAACGTTTATACGCAAATACTTAGATTTATTGATTTCCGCGAAATGTGAAATTTTCAACTATCATGCTCAAGGTCAAACGTAAAAAGTGCATATTTTACTATTGCCTTGACAACTACTGAGTTAACTATCAATTTTTATAGTTTTTCATCTTTCTGGAAGGTAATTTTGAAAGCAATATTTGTCATTTCAATGATATAGTAAAGCTATATTCTTTATTTGCTTACATATCAGCAAATGTAAGCAAAACTTGAGTAATTGCTTTGTTCTCAAACATTAGGTGAAAGCTTTTATAACATAAGGCTCATTATACATTAGTCATGAAATACTATGAGGGTCATATCAAAGCAAAAACCAGTGATCAATAATGACTCAATTTCTTTTTAATAATCAAATAGAAATTTTTAAACACTAGGAAATTTAATGTTATTTTTTGAATGAATGGACATTTAAGCAAATTATAAGGTAATTTATGAAATCAGTCAAACATGAAGGAAAATAGTTGTTTGATTTTTATTTTAAGAGATCGCAAATCTAAAACTACTGGTGATTGAAATAGTTCAATCATGCTCTGTTATGCAACAAAATAAGACTCATATTTTCATGACCAATTTGGAAAAAATTATTTTCTGAGTAATTTAATATTAATAATTGTGTATGACTCAATAACATAGATAGTCATATTTTTGGTTAGATAAAAGCGGATGCAATTATCACTGATCTGTGTGACTAACTCATCAATGTACAAAAATAAACCTGAAATTTATTTTGTGTTATTCACTCAATAATTTCTTAAGTTATACATAATCTACTTTCTTTATCAGTTACAACAGCCAGAGTGGTGATTAATATTGAAGGTCAAGATACCCCTCATTTGTTGGGTTCTAAAGCTTGTACATGGGGACCTTCATATTGGTGTCAAAACATAACGTAAAAATTTTAATTTATAGATATTAATATGATACGTTCTTCTAAATTGTAATTTTGTATAAGAAATATTTTGTTATTATAGCACTGCTGCAGGATGCAACGCAACAAAGCATTGCATTCCCAAGGTTTGGGAAAAACTGCAAGTACCAGAAGATCATGACAGTGTTTGTCAAATTTGCAAAGATATGGTCAAACAGGCTCGTGATCAATTAGAAAGCAATGAAACTCAAGAGGATTTAAAAACTGTCTTTGAAGGGAGTTGTGCCTTGATCTACATTAAGCCAATTGTTAAGGAATGCGATAAATTAGTTGATGAATTTATTCCTGAACTGGTTGAAACTTTAGCATCTCAAATGAATCCTTCAGTGGTTTGCTCTGTAGCTGGACTTTGTAACTCTGCTCATATAGATAAACTTATTGAAGAATATGAAAAACAATCTAAAATAAAGGTAATCACTAAAATTTAGCTATTTAATTAAATATAATTTATTTTCTTGCAATTTTTAATTATATACATTTTATTACTGTTTTATAACAATAACATGTTACACTACATTTTATGAATATTTTATAACATGCCTTTTAGAAATTAGAATCACAAATGTCTTTAGAGAATGATGAATATAAACCTAATGATTGTTCGAAATGCTATACAGTAGCACATCACATGGAACATAAATTCAGTCAAACATCTCGTGATAAAGTTCTTGAACAATTTTTGCACATCTGTGGTGAATTCAGCTCATTTTCTGATGCTTGCTCTTCTATTATCCTTACCAATTTTGAAGTAATTTATTCACACCTTCAAAATAATTTGAATGCTGATAATGTTTGTCATTTATCTGGAAAATGTAGCTACAAATTTCATATCCATAAAAATGCAACTGAAAAGGTAAATTGAAAAATTAAAAAAAAATCGATTACTAATGGTTATCTATATATATCTTTATAACTTAATTTATGATTAGACTCCAGAAGTTGAAATTCGTCCTTTATCCAGTGTGGGTATGGTTGAAATCAATGATGATTTGCCTTGCAAACTTTGCGAACAACTTGTTGGTCATTTAAGGGATCTATTAGTAGCTAACACAACTGAAGCTGAATTCCAGCAAGTTCTTGAAGGGCTTTGCAAACAAACTAAGTCGTTTGCACAAGAGTGCAAATCAATCGTTGATGAATACTATCCTGAAATATATGCTTTCCTTACTAAACGTTTAGATGGTAATGCTATTTGTCAAATGGGAGGTTTGTGCCCAGCACCTAATAAGAAGGTAAAGATTGGGTATAATTTTAACACTGAAATTTATTTGTCATCAATGATATAAATAGACATATAATACTTTTAGTCAGCTCCTATTTGGCCACTTGTACCAGAATCTCATGCTAAGATTGCTGTGCGAATTATGAAGGAAAGTAAACCAAAAGTGCTGGAAGCTAATGAAATGCAATTACCTTTAGAGCGGATGTCTCTACCAATGTTCAGTCCTTTATTCATTGATGATAAGTACTGTACAAGTTGCGAATTTGTGATGAACTACGTAAAAAAAAATGTTGAAGACTTGAAGAATCGGGTACACTTTTTAGTACATTTCGATACTATTAAGAGAAATTGATTTGAGCCTCGTGTGGACGTTTACGCCCGAGCGAAACAAGAATAAAAAGGCCACACGACGGTGAAATCATTTTTTCGCACATGTATCTAACGGTATTTTTTAATACGATGTGTATGGGACAAAATTTTAAGCATGTTCAATGTCTCGAGTGTGCCTAAAGTCCCTGCGCACAGTGTGTTGAAAAAATATTTCAAGTACATTATACATTTTTTTAATTATGATTTTGACTGTTTATATTTATAATGTGTAGGAGGAAGTGACAATGGTTCTTAACGATATGAAAACCCATCTTCCTGGCATCAAAGAAGAATCAAATGAAGAAAACTTTTTAACAAAATATGAACCAGCTATAATTGAGTTAGTTCTTAATGGAAAAGCCCTTTCAGAAGTAAATAATTTCACTTTATAAAGAAATATATTTCTAAATTTAATATTGATTTTATTTTTTTTTCTAATTGTAGATTTGTCCATTAGTTGCTGTTTGCCCCACAAATCAACAAATTCAAGCTTGGGAACAGATTCCTGGTGAAATGACAGAGAAACTGTCAGTTCAAGATAAACCCAACTGCCCTCTATGTCTTTTTGCAGTAACTAAGTTATATGAACTTGTAAAAGATGAGAAAACTGAAGTGAGTTCTATAGAGTTTTATATATGAAATCATTTTCTTTGATTTGATTTTTTGATTATGCAATAGGCTAGTATTGAAGCAGCTCTGGAGAAGTTGTGTCATGAATTACCGAAAAGTCTTAATGAACAGTGTACTGATTTAGTAAAAATTTACAGTAAAGAGTTGATTGATATGTTACTTAAAGATATGACTCCACAAGAAGTTTGTGTATCCCTCCAATTTTGCGATCGTTCACAAAGGGCCAATCACAAATCAAAATTGTTTTTCCAAGACAAAATCGTCGCAATTCCCCAAAATGATGTTGAGGGCAAACAAGCATGTGCTTTTTGCGAATATGTGATGCATTATATTCAACAAGCCATAACTAATCCTAAGTCGGAGGTATAGAATTTATTTATTAGAATCAAATTCATTACAGAAAAAAATATGTTTGATTTAAAATATTAAAATTGAAAAACAAATTAAATGATATATATATATATATATATATATAATCTTTTAGGATAAAGTAAAGAAAGCTATTGATAAAATATGTACAAAACTACCTACTTCTGTAGGAAATGATTGTATTGAGTTTATAAACGCGTATGGTGACGCATTAGTATCAATTATTGTTCAAGAAATTGATCCGACACAGGTGAACAAAATAATACGAAATAATTTGAAAAGCATTTTTATGTTACTGATATCAAATGTTTTTAATGTTATAATAGGTTTGTCCTATGATTCATTTATGCCCGTCAACTCAATTACTTGAAGCTTTGAAGATGATACCGGAAGAACATGTGATAAAAACTAAAGTTGAGGATAAACCGAATTGTCCTCTTTGTCTGTTTGGGGTGACACAGTTGTACAATGCTATTAAAGATAATAAAACTGAGGTAAACTTATAAACAATGTTTATATATGAATGCATTTATTGTAATATATTTCAAGTGTGAATGATTTGTTTTATATTTGATCGAACAGGCGTCTATTGAAGCTGCTTTAGAAAAGTTATGCACTCATCTGCCAAAAAGTTTATTAGATCAGTGTGATGTTTTTGTTCAAAATTATAGCAAACAAATTATAGAAATGATTCTTGCAGACTTAACACCACAAGAAGTTTGTGTTTACTTACAACTATGTGACGCAGAAAAAGGCGACGTTGAACCTGAAATTACGATCTTCCCTTTGGATAAAAATGGCGAAATAAGTAAGATCTGTGTTATAAATATATTTTTATTTAATTTTTAGTAATTATAAATTTTTCAATGTTATACATTTTTTATTAAAAAGAGATATAGATTTAGATATAGTTAAAGATTTAGAAATAAATTATCTATATTTAAAATTGTAAATTTCTAATTTACATTCCATTGTTTTAGTGACCAATGAAATACCTAATGGTCCAATGTACACAGTAAATGTTGAAACAGTGGAAATTTTTAGTGGAGAGTTAGTAGGTGACGATATGGAATGCACAGTATGCCAATTTGTTATGCAATATCTTGAAAAAGCTATGGGTAGTCGTAAATCAAAGGATGAAATTGAACATTTGGTTCACAATGTTTGCAATCATCTTCCTAAACACATGGCTGACAAATGTAACAATTTCGTCAACGAATATGCTGAAATTGTTATTGAACTTCTGACTCAAGAAGTTAGTCCAAAAGAAATCTGTACAATTGTTGATCTTTGCAAACCCGACACGACACGAATAAGAGGTATGAGAGATGTTTCTGAAACTGATAATTATGATTTGAAAGTAATGGCTCGCATGTACTCTCCTGCTGTAATAATGGTATAAATTTCAAGTGAATTGTGATGTCTTATGGAAGTGCTTATACATAATATTACTTAAGAGTTTTATTTAATAAAGTATTTTTTAATAATGGTGTTGTTTGATTTGAGTAATTCTAACACAACCTTGCACCTTTACTTACTTTAGGTGGTCTAAAACTTATTCAATGGTAGATCCTGCATGATAGACAAAAAGAGTTAAAAATTAGGATTAAAGTTACATAATTAGATTTAATATTTTTTATATTTTTAGAATTTGTTGCAGAATGTGCTTTATGTCAGGTTATTGTAACGAATATTGAAAAGCTTTTAGTTGATCCAAAAACAGATGAACATATTGAAGAAGTCATGGCTAAAATCTGCAAATATTTACCAGAAAATGAACAAGGAAAAGTTGGTATCGATGTATGATTGCTTAAAGAATGAGCACCTAACTTTTTTTAATGCAATATTTTCTTTGCAGTGTACAATGCTAATGGAAATTTATGAACAAAGTATAATCAATATAATTAAGACTCATGGGGATACAAAAAAAATTTGTTTAAAGTTAGGTCTTTGCTCCGCTAACGATTTTTTAATAAAATTGACTGTAAATAGAAGAACTAGGCGACAAACAGAGGATAAAAACCTTGGTACAAAACCTTGCACTTGGGGAGAATTTTATTGGTGTATAAGTGATAAAACTGCAGAGGAATGCAAGGTAAATTATTTGCATTTTTTTGTCTATTCAAAGTAGTATATTTACATAACAAATTAATATATTATATCTACCAGGCCAGTGAATTATGCAAAAAGAAAGGCCGCCTTTCTGAATCATCCCCAACTTTAGCTACAGTTGTCTCTAACAATATTGAAATTAAATCTAAAAATAATGAGAATAAAATGGAGAATGAAAAGGCTGCAGTAACCAAAGATATATCATCATCATAAACAAATAACGCAATAAAATTATTTAAAATTAGTTTTTTCAATGAATAACATTGTTTGCTCAAGCGATAATGGTTCTCTACTTGTCATCAATATTTACTTATTATTTTGCAATAATTGATCCTACATGAAAACACATTAGTGTGAGTGAGGCTGTTTATCAAGATGTGTCATATAATTATCTGAATATTTTTGTGGCATATAGTTTTATACTTGTATAATTTCAAATACTTATTAATCGAACAAATTTTATAGTTTATAGTGTCTTAATTACTTTTGTATTTAAATTTACTTGATAGTTTATTTAGTGAGTTCTTGGATTTTCACTTTTTCAATATTAAAAGAGCAGTATTTATAGGTTTCAGAAAACATTTTCTTGAATTTGATTTGATAATTTGCTCATAAATCAAAATTCAACATGTTAATCTTAGATCTATGTTAACTGTGATAATGAAATCTTAATACAAAAATAACTGTAATTCAATTTTCATTTTTGGTAAATAAAGTTTTTGAATAATTGAAGTTTTTAGTGAATATCAATTTTTCAAAATTGCATATACACGTCGCCATTGTTCATATAACTGCTCGGATGTTAGTTCGCGACTTATGAAGTTCAAAATCCAAATTATTTTCGACGATTGAGTAGCGATGGCATCCAATATTTTTAAGGAAAATTGAGGGGGCACAACTAGTCAAAATAAGCACTTGACCTAATTTTGTTTGGTGTCATCGATGCTCCATTGTCGAAAATAATTCAGATTTTGAACTTCGCGGGTTGCGAATTAATGTCCGGGCGTCCGGCATACAATAACAAATAGCAAGGTCGCTACTCGCTGCTCCGAAAGCTCAAACATTCGTGATCCATCAACATGGCTCAATGGCTTATAGTCGCGATCACGTGATTCATCATTATCAAGTGCATTAGTATACAAAGATATATAGTCTAACTATAATCGCGAGTCGTCTTTGTGTTGCACTGCACAGTGCATGAGACAGATCCAACACATAATCTCTGCCAAGACATACTGTGCATATGTTTCACGCTTTCACGCACACACACTCTCAAGTCTCCTTGAAGCTTACAAGAAAGTAGAAATTATAATAAATATAAGTTATACACAGTTCATTAACTTTGGCGGAAAATTAATAGACTTGCATTTCGTAAATTCTATCTTTTAATCTATAACAAATTACGCTAAAGGCAAGAAATATGACATTGTAGAGAGATCACACACGTAATGACTTTTTGCTTTGAATATACTGAAAAAAATAAAAAAACTTATAAACAAATAACTTACTGTCATGTGGAAGTGTCACAAGTGTGGAAAGCCCGTCTATTTTGGTATGTAAATTAATAATATTTTGGTAATAATTTCATTTCTATTTCTTTGTACTAAAGGATCACTCATTATTTTAAATTTTTTATGTAAACAAAAAGATTTTCAAAATATGTTAATTATAACTATAAAGTATCAATTGAAATCAATAAAAGTTAATTATTTTAACGTATAATGCAATCATTTACGTTTTATCAATAGCGGAACGCAAACAGTCACTGGGATACGATTGGCATCCCGAATGCTTGAGGTTAGTGCAAGTATGATACAACGTTAGAACTTTTAATTTAACTAAAAGAATCTTAAGAAATTGTTAGTCAAGATATGGAACAAAAACCTTTAAAAATTAATATTGTATATATCGAAATACTTGAATTACGTTATTAAACGTAAAGAGAATATCAGAAAAATTGGTGAATATAAAAATATTTTTTTTATTTTCTTATTAAACTAGACTAATTAACTTCACAGACAATACATACAGTTTTACAGATATTCTAAATTTATATTAATAAAATATATTTGTGATAAATGTTACTTGATCATTAAATTATTTTATTCCTTAAATTCTTTTTATGAATAGGTGCGAAGAATGTGGAAAAAGATTAAATCCTGGTCAACATGCTGAGGTTAGTATTTGTAATAATTTCAGAATACAGAGCATATTTTCAATCAAATATATAGCAAATATGTCTAAATTAAAAATTTTTTTTGTTTATAGCATAAAGGAGTTCCTTACTGCCATGTGCCATGCTATGGAGCATTATTTGGTCCACAATTGTTTGGCCATGGTACAAGAGTTGAATCTCATACAAGTTTTGGCAAAAAAGAATCTCGCTCATCATTACCAAGGTAAAAAAATATTTATTAATTGTAATTTATAACATTTTTGTATTAAGCTTAAAAAAATGTTTAATTGTATACATTTTTAACAGATCACACTTGGAATCAAAACTCAAAATTTTCAACCAATATTACGAAGGAAAAAGTGGTGGAATTAGAAGTCGTGAGGTATATAAAAATAATAATTGGAGTATATATTTCATCATTACATTAACTTTTTAATTCAAATTTGCATAATGTCTTTTTTTTCTTTCTTAGGTGAATGGACGATTGATTTTGGAAGGCGCTTTACGAATTTATTGGGGTGTAAGAGGTGTTATTCATTTAAAAGAAGACGATGATCAGAGAACTGTAGTTACAGCTCGGCATAAAAATTCATGTAGAAGAAGTTATCCAGGGGATAAAATAGAAATTGAAAAAAGTAAAAATGAAGAATCAAAAGATTCATCTCCAAACAATAGTCAAATAGAAACAGAATCAAATTCAGTTTCAGCATCTCCTGATCACATTAAAAGTCTAACACTGCCTATGAAGCTTAATGTTAAAAAAATGGAATGGAATGAATTGGACGATTTATTGCAAATAAAGCACAAAGGTGAAGATGGTGAAAAACTTTATCAGACCATGCCTAAAAGTCTTCCATCAATGAGCTCATATTCCAGTAACCTTGAGACACCTTTCTCGTTGTCAATACAATCAAGTGTAGACACTTCAGAACCTAGTAGTCCTAATACAGAATCGAGTAATGGTAAAATCAAAGATAATAGTGTGAATAGTACACCCACTCATAGTATAAGCAGCTCTTCAAATACAGATACTCCTAACTACAATGAATCGCTTAACAAAAATGGCGCTTTACGTAGAGTTGAATATTTTGATAGTTTAGACAAAAATTCAGCAAGTACACAATCAATTAGTGACGAAGATAGTTGGGTAGAAAAGGGTTTAAATCGTTCAATGTCTGGACCAGATTGTCTGCAAAGGCATCGAACAGACAGCGATATAGATTCTGTAAGTTCTTTGCATTTCCGTGACGATGACAACATGACAATGTCAACTGACAGTGGATTGGAGGTAAGATTTTAACAGAACTTATAAATAAGAGTAACAAGTCATTTTATATTTAATTTTGTTCTGTTTATTTAATTTTTTTCTTTCGTAAAATAAATTATTTTCGTTAATTATTTTATGAATTCATTTTATTATATCATTTGTACCGTGTTATTATAACTTCATGCTTAATCACATAAAGTTCAGGTATTTTGAAGATTTACTCAACAAATCATTATCCTTCAGTTGGATGGAGTTGTTTTGCGTCGTAAGCAGGGCTCAACAGCGATAAGACGAAGACCAGGAGCTAGACGGCAATCACGTAATCGTCTTAAACGACGTTGTTCAATTAACGGGCATTTTTATAATCGAGAAACTAGCTTTTTTACACCACCTCATGGATCACAAATGTCAGTGTGGGTAACAAGTTTAGTCAACACTCAAGAGGTAATTAATCTCATGTTAGACAAATACAAAGTTGATGCTAAACCTGACAACTTTGCACTCTTTGTTGTACGAGATAACGGAGGTAAATATTAAATTTTTAATATTAAATGTGAAAATCTATGCAATTTTTACAATGACAATTAAAGTTATTGCCAATTTTTATCTATTTCAATAGAACAACGCCGACTCAGAGAAGACGAGTATCCGTTAGAAGTTCGAGTTATCTTGGGTCCACATGAAAATATTACTCGATTGTTTTTAGTCGATAAACTTTCAACACCCGAAATAAGCTCTGATGTTGCTCAGTTTCTTAATTTGTCTTTGGCTGAGTGTCAAAATATTCTGCAGCGTTATCATTATGAAGAAGAGAGACAAATTATTATGTTGAAAGAAAAGTATGTCTCCCCTTTTTAAAACTATTTTATTTTATATATATTTGTTATTGATTAATTATTAATTAATTAATTTATTATTATTGTTATTAATTATTTTGTTAATTTAAAATTTTTTACAGATACAAAGAAATGCATCGCAGAATAAAACAGCGTATGGAGGACTTAAAAGTTCGCTTATGAAACAGAATGCAGCTACGCTTTTTAGATTGTTTCTATCTGTTTTTATTATTCTTTTATATGAAATGTTTAATCTAGATATTAATAACAACTTTTTATACATTTTTTAACTAAACGAGTATGGAAACTATTTATGCTACCTCTAATCTAATCGCTTAATTAATTTTTTTTATTTACAAAAATTTAAAAAACGATTTATTATTCCTTTTTTGTGAAAAACGTATGCATTTCATAATAACAATTTAATAGCATTTCGACACTTCACGTGGTAGCGGGCTACTGTCAAGGTTCCCATTAAAGACTTGATTATTTGAACACTCAAAGACTGACTATATAATTTCGTTCTCTCTCCCTTTTTTTTGCCTGTATAACAATTAAAATTAACTTTCGTAATGACTTATTAATTGACATGGTATATGAATTTTCTGCATATGGTGCTAAATTGTTTCATTATTAAATTTAAGTACTCTAACTTCAGATCTTGTAAGTTCCATTTACATTTGATGTTTTACGTACATACAATTATTGAATGTTTAATATTAGAATAGTTGGATTATAAAATATAGTGAAACATTATTCAAAGTGTTATGTCTATTCAATCAGCGTATTAAGCTATAGTTTGCAAGTAGAATCAAATGAAATTATATATTACGAATTATTCATATTCATCGCCTTTAAAAGACAAAAAAATTAATAGAGGTCAGTTTAATCACCATCATGTAAATTGTTTATAAACCTTAAATATTAAAAATTATAATTGCAGGCAAATGTGATTATCAGGAATTATTGAAACTAAATTAGACAAATTGGAAATTATGATACAATAGATTCATATCATTAAAAATAAATAAGAATAAAATGAACACATTTTCTAAAAACTGTACTTTGTAATGTAATTCACCTGTACTTCCAAAAAATTTTAATATATAATGTTATATTTGTTACTGGTTGGGTATAAATGAATAAGACAATAGTAAATTACAGATTGGACAGAATGCATTCTTTATTTTTTTTAAGACTAAATAGAGTAAAGTAGATCAATGTAATGTTATGAGAAGTATGAGTAATAATCATCATACGAGTTGCTAGGAACGAGTATGTATACTCACAACACCGAGGAGCTCAGCTGCTCTTTTTATGTTATTAAGTTTTTTTGTTTCATTACCTTAATTTTTTTAATCCACGACACTGATATACGTTTAACGGTATGAGACAAGTAATAACAGTCGCCGATACAATACGCATCATTAAACTTTACTGTTAACTGTATTTTTTTATTTTTATAGATGCTCATTGTAGGCATTGGCTTCGTGGCGCTATACGTGTCATCGTAGACAGATAAAGTGAAAGTCAACATTCCGAAATTTAGAGACAATCTAATTGTTAATTTTTAATTCTTGATTAGAGGGAGCGCGAGAAATAACATCTCAAGTCTAAAACATTCTAATCATGATTTCACGATAGAAGGGAATTCTCTGTGGCTCTGTAAAAATCTTATAAAATTTCACGTGTATTTAGCTGACTTTGACTTTTCAATATAGTCAACGAAGACATTGTATAAACAGTTTATACAAGTCATTTCAAAAAGTTTTCAATGGTTTTTAACATACATTTCATTCTTTTTTTAATTATTTTCAAATAATATATAAAATTTCGATGAAATCGGCTTCCATGCCATCAAAAATGATCAAAAAATTACTCCAATACTTTTCTTGCTGGTTGTATAGAGAATTGTAATTGAAAAAGAAAGCATTAAAGAAAATAAATAATTCGGTAATAACATTTGGACTTTCTCTGGAAAAAATTTTTATAAGTCCATCAAAATATGTATATTTCAATTCAATTGAAGTGAATGTAATAACGTTGTGTAAAAAACTTTGATTCGTCTTTTTTGACTTTAGTAACTTTACATTTTTTGCATACGACTGAACTCGATCGGAAGAATTCTATTCATGTTCTGTATAGCCCAGTTCTACTTATAACGCACTCATTATTGCTCTGATTCAAATGTATAACATACGATCGTACATGCATACAATAACATAAAAACAAAATGTTATAAAAAAGAAAATAAGAACAAACGAAAAATAAATTGACAACATTAGCAACAACTATAGCGACGGCGTTATGAGAAAAGGTGGTTGATTCATCACCCGCACAATTCTTAAGAAATACAATTTTGTACAATAAAGTTCATACAAAAACGAAATATACAAATATATGTTTTTTTTTTACATGAGCGCTTTGTCATATTTCTTCACGAGATTGCAGTTTATCACAATCTGCAATCTGACGCATTTTCGCGTCTTACAAAAAATACGGTACTTCCTCGCGACAGCATCGCAACGTTAGCGAGCATTAAAAAATCAATCGCCCCAGGCCACCGCATGTTTCTTTCACTATTTAACCACATATCTTACTTTACTTTATTGAAATTTTCCTACGACATATCTCAATAAGATTAACTCGGGCTTTATGCAAAATAATCTGTTAAATCTGTTATCTACTTCAAATTAATAAATAAGTAATATAATTTTATTTATCCGAATTACTATTTCTCCGTTATTTAACTCCGACACTTAAAGTTTCTAATTTTTTAATAGAAATGTACTACATTACAAAACAATTTAATTGGTAATTAGTAATTTTAGTACGTAAATCTTTTCTGCTTGCATAAAACGTACGTTTCACGTATGTGCTATATATATAAATAATACAATTAAATAAACACTTGAAACTCGATGTTAGTCGCAATACAAACCATACAAAATGTTATTACAAAAAACACATTATTAATTACCTAATAGTTCAAGCAATCTCGATATAAAAACATAATCAAACCTAAGTTTGATTCTACAACAATAATTTAGATAAACTGCTGAGTAGAAAACCTTTTAGCCAAAGCTGACATTTTTAGCTAATTAATAATTATGACGCACACAAGGTTCCCATGGTTATTCGTTCGTTGTTTTTCCATTAGATTAATACTATCGCATTCATATTGGATTGCCATGAGAAATTTTATGAATTGACCGACGAATGCCAGAACTGTGAATTGACTAAATTCAACGGATTTACATTAAACTTTTTTTGTTATTTACGCAATGCACCATTGATGCGCTATGTATAATACACGAGATTCTTGTGAGTGTCTTTCGACTTGCCGAACGTTATCTTGCGTAACACTCTAGTAACTCGTCTAATGAGGAGTATATTTGTTTCGAACTTGTCAATGTCAATCATACTACATTATATTAAAAATTATTGGCACCATCGAATTTTTTTTTTCACAGTTAACTTCTGTACACTCTTTTATTACTTATGCGTCTTTCATAATATCTAATTACGCGTTCTGCTCTTCGTTTCTTATTATTATTGTTAGCATTTCTTATACTAGTAATATTTTTTCGTTGAATTGTTCAATCGAAACTTAGAATAAAAACTTCATTTACGTTACTCTCTATTTTATTTAATATTATACTTTCTTCGGCCACGTTTTTTCTCCTCTCTATACGTTTAACGTTTTTAGTGCAATTGTTTTTAAACTTGACTTTTGCACACTCTGATAGATTAAAGTATATTATGTCGTTGCGCATTCTAAGACCAATCGCCGTTCGTCTTTACATCAATTATTTCTGTATTTAGAGGCGAATGGTAAGGAAACTTGTTATCGTTTCTCTAAAATTCGATGTACTCGTCCTTCAACAATATCATAACAGTTGAATATGAATTAGAAAAATAACGTCATATTGTAGACAACAATTGATTATACAATATTTACGTATATTTATATATTTATATTTGTATCGAGTACCTTTGATACAATAGCTTCATAAGTCTATTGTATTAGTACTAATTAAAATCTTTAGGTCATCGGCTCAAGACCGGATGCTGTGACATTTTGTATTTGTCAACTCCTAGCTCTAGTGCCACAAACAGATTGTTACGTAACTATCTAAAAAATTATTTCGAGTTGGTTAAGGAGATGCCCGCATCATTTATTAGAATGGAATGGATTCTCAAGACTTGAAATTGCCCTCGTTAGACCTAAAAATTATTGTTTTCTCATTACGTATCTGTCTTCATTTTAATTATGATATACTTAATAATTCATATTCATATTCATGCACTGAGTATAGAGTGGATTTTCAACATTCATTATATAATTAGTATTGATATATGTAATATCGTTATTTCCATTAGCTAGTTATTCTTTTAACACGTGTAAAAATCTGAATTGTGTTTAATAATAATTTTCACGAATACGAATAATTTTTAGGTTTGCAATAGAAGTTGAACGATAGAAACGTAGATATCGAGATGGAAATAAGATAAAAAGTCACAGCATCTGGTAGAGGCTTATTGTGGGACAGATTAGGCATACGTTAACATATCGCACTGTCGCGCAAATGGGCGAATTGTAAATTATCAATTTACTTGTCATCGCTGGTATAACTACATACCTATATATTAGGGTTCGCTGCTCAGACAAATTCTTGGCCAAGCCTTCACAGCTTTTATCTGATGCACAGCTTCATATATCCAGCGTACAAATCTATATGCGCTTTTTACGGTATTTATTCTGTAAGGACTTTTTTCAAAATTCCACCGAGACATATAGCTATAGAATTAAACTTATAGGTATATAATAATGTATGTTTACAATTTGTACGATAGACATCGACATTCATATATGTGTATATATATATATATAATATTTTTATGTGTATATATATATACTTATATAGATAATATAATATTTATATATTACAGTTGGATTGCTCATTGTCAATTCATCAATTATCACATTTAGTACAAGTTGAAAAATATTTCTAACATCCATGTTGAAGTCGCTGCAACGCGCGTCGATCAGACAGTATAAAACTTTATACGTCATTTGCGACCATAACATTATATCTATACCTGAGCGAAAAAGTAAAACGCCGATAGCCCCCTTCCTCTCTCGGGCTTTTTCGTGCACGACGCATTCGAGAGCCAGTCGCTTTTATCTCATTCGCGATCCCCGCGCGCTGCAATCTGCACCCCGTAACATATTTACTATATGTATGCACATGTAATATATTTAGTTATAGGTACGATAAACGACGATAATACAGTCACCCAACAATGTTGTATTTTTTGCATATTTTCAACGTGCACTATTTCGTACAGTTCACCTAGTTATATTGCTGTTTGGCAGAGCGGTTGCAAAATTTTTCTTTTACTTGTTTGAGTGCTAAATATATGCAATTATTGCCACGAATGAAAATTTCGATCGTCGTTATCAGCTTGGCGATATTTTCAAGCATCCCGTATATTTATTTTATTTTTAGTAACCAAAATAAAAATACATCATTATCTAGTTATTTCTGCCTTTCCACTGTATGTAAGAATAATTTTTTATTTCCATTTTATGCTGTAGTAACAAATACCACACTAAAAATATTATCATATAGTATTTGCACTTTGGGTTTTTGCATACGTTTTGGTCGTATGAAATTTAGATTGTTAACTTTTATTTAACTTTATCCCGTTGTTTTTACTATTCTTGTCATTGATTGAACTTCTTAACGTGAAAATAGATCTGATTGCATCAATATTTTTTTATTCATGTTGGTTAATTTAAATTTTTTATTCAATAATGAAGATTAAATATTGATGTTAAAATAGATAAAAAATATAAGTAGTATATATGATTTTCATTATGTGTATATTAAAACTATTTATGAAATGAAACAGCTAAAAGATTTTCTTCCTTAGTTATGGACAGATTATCATATTTTTTGCAATGAAAGGCATATTCTGTTGAGAAAGTCAAAATCATTTCTTGGCACCTTGTTTTTCGAATACGATTTACGTTATATTTCTGTTCTAGATTAATAATTGCTGGCAATTAAATTTTCAATCTTATATTGTGATTAAAACATGTAAAATATTTTTTTTAGATTAAACAGAATTCATACAGTGTTATTTAATTTTAAGTAAATTCTTTTCTATGAGATGGGGTATTCATAGCGCCAGTATATTTTGCAACTTCACTGCAAAATCCGCCCATTAAAATTTGCATGGTAACACAGACATTGGGGAAGTGTTAAAGACTTTTCTTACTTACTCTCGATAGTTTTTTTCATAGGATAAGAGACGTGGAGTTATATAATATCTATTCTACTAGGATAGATTAGACACCGAAAGAACACCGAGAAGTTTATTTAGAAAAGACAAAAGTATTTGAGAGGAAGAAGTTAAAAATATTTATACACTGTCTGAAATACATTCATTCATTTTATTCTATAAACATTTTTTTTTATTTTATTGAAAAATCTTATTTTTTGAAACTAACGGACATCGAGGATCAAAAGAAATGTACGTGTCATTGCATTAATTGCACAGAAGAACAATATGTTTGTTGATTTTTTTTAAATTACGCGATATTTAAGTTTTTAGAAATAAATTAATGATAAAAACTGATATTGTTCCAGAAGGTCATCGAAAATTTGTACTCGCTGGCATAATTTTTTTGTTGAAACTTATTAGTAAAGCAGATCTTATAGTTTCAATTAACTTTTATTGAACTGCGTGTTATGTTATGTTTTAACTTTTAATTGATAAATTTTTATTCGTAACTATAGTGCAATGTATGGATTCTAATTTATTTTAAAATTACGATTTTCTTTAAAGATTGAGCATATTGTATAGTTTTTAAGTAAAGCATTAAAAATTTATGGAATATCACATACAATGAGACGGAGCAGTGGAAATCAATCTCCCATGATCATATCAACTTTTTAAAAACCACATATACATATATAAAATAGTGAACATTTGGGCACATTTTCAAAATTGTGTACGCTTTTTATTGTTTTTATTGCAAAAATATTTTCTAATTGACGTTAACAAAGTTTGTGCAAAAAATCAAATACTAAATTATTTTCAAATTATTATATTTTGGTAATTTATTTCTAGAGCGGCTAAAGTATTTAAAAATAATCAATTGATACTTTATTAACAACGAATTTCATAACATTTGTAAAGCTTCATCATCTCAAAAGATTGTATATATTTAAACAAACAATTTTCTCAAATTATTTTTACGCAGCTGTACCATTTGACATTGGATGATTGATCAAAGAAAAAAAATGTTTTATTTATATGTTGATATCATTTCAAATACTATGTTTTAATTTTTTTCGCATGTACATTAATCTAATCTAAATATTGAGAACGCTTAAAATTTTTAACCGAATGATTAATTTAAAATTTTTGTTGCACGTACTCGCGGCTGGGTTAAATTAAAACTGTTTTCACAGTTAATAATTTGCTAAAGTACGATCAGGCAGCACATTATTATGTAACTGACATAACTAATAATTATCGACATTTTTCTTCTTACGCGTATATCACATCTGATCGTTCAGTCAATATAGGAAGACCCTCGCGACGCTATCATGCTTACACACGACCAACTCACTCCGGAATTTGCTGTTTCATGTTTACGCATTTAAAACTTAATTTATTATTACCCGCTTTTCCATATTTAATCGGTTTTGTACAAGTTAAAAAGCAGAGATACTTATATAACAAATAATATCATGCCGCATTAAGCTTAAAATTGCAGAAAGTTATTTTTATCTATAATGTTGAAAATGCAATATTTTATAAAATTCGTTGAATTCAATTTTAAAGCAGCTAAAAGCACAATTTTTCGGGTATTATGTCCTTAAGTAAGCATCTCTGCCTTCGGTTTGGCTGATTCTGAATTTGAATAAAAAGTGCGGCTTTAAAATAAGTTTAATAAAGTTTTGGTTTGAGTAATTTTATAATATTGCAATTGTTATACTTGAGCAGATATTAAGTATTTTAGTAATAATTATGGCGATAGATAAAGACGTAATTGACAGCCCGTTCAATTATTATAATTGTTTTATTTAATAGTACTGCAAAAAAAGTTTCCTAACAATTTTTTTTATCTGAATCACATGTATTGGCGTTGTATATCTGCTTCAAATTTGCCCACGATATTAAGCATTAAAGTTCAATATTAGGTAAAAGCAATTGATATCAACTGCAACATTATTAAAATGTAATGTTTTCTGAGACCGCGAAAACCTTTTTCTTGTTGATGAACCATTTTTTCTAACTACTGTACACTAAAGTTCCTTTGGAAACTACATTCTAAACAGTACTAATAATTTTGTAAAAATTTTAAATCACCATCGAATATTAATATAATACACTTATTATGCATACGTTCTTACATTTAGTACAAATATAGGAACATTCATTAAATATATCTTTATGTATAATATTATATCATCGTCATATAATATTAGACTTTTCATCGTGTCCATAATAATATATAATTTATTCCGTATTTCCCACATTAAGTTATTTGGTGTTGCATATAATATAAATGACTAATTATTAAAATGTGATTTAAATGCCCTGATGTTCCGCGACGCGCGACTTATTTTTTTATTAGGCATCGAAAAACTAATTTTTAACAATAAAATAATTTATCATTTCTTATCGTCGTAAATAAAATCTCAATACATGCTTTTTCGTATTCTTTAACAATGCTAAAGAACGCTTAAACTCCGCAGGATCAAAATAATTTTTTAACCTGATAATGTTTTGTGGTTTCATTAATAGAGTGAAATGAATACGTTTTTGAGTTTTCAAAAGATCGATAAGAGTATATTGCTTTTTTTCGCTTATTATTACAAAGACAGCTAATACAAAAATGTTTAATTAATATTTAATTTCAGTGTCTCGAGTGTATACGAAATTGGACTACAGAAAGTTTCGATGCAAATTATTTACTCGAATCCACCAGAAGATCTATTCTCTTTATCGCTCGTCACGGAATCGGTTTTCAATTCAATAATACATGTATCAACTACCACATAGCGATAACGAAGAAGGGTGCTATGTATTTAAGGAGTACCAAAATCCATTGTAATCCTTGGGTTTAGTTCGTTGCAGCATTCGTTTTCCGTAATTATTTCGTTTGGTTTAATCGTTCGTAAAGAATCTTTGGACTGTAGTTTGACTATTAATATTATCGCCTAAATGAGAAACGAAATTACTAACTATCTGGCCTTGTGTCATTTTCGATTATGGAGGGATCAATCGGACGCATACGGTATAATTAATCGAATTCCACTAATTTGAAAAACATTTCTGACTCGCGAAAGTGGCTTTCATATGAATTTGTTATTGCGATCACAGAACTACATAGCTCTTCGCATCAAATAATTATCCAAGTACGTTCGGCAGCTTGGCATTACATTGAAAAACAATAGTGTCCCTTCGACTCGGAGAAGAACTTTGAAAACTTTGGTTGCTCGACTAATTACCTTTGTTTAATCCACTCCTCTGCATACATTCGATGTCACGTTAAAAAACTGTCGACAATCTAGCAGTCACTATTTTCCAGATGAAAGCATCACTAAAACCGCGCTACGGAGTTAACGATAGAATCTGCTAATACGAGGTCTGTTTATTGCTGGTTGTGCGATTTCGCATATATCTCAGTCGATACGGCTCGGCGCGAAATCGAGCATGCACACACGTAGCCGCGACGCATCTTGCAGGCAAAGTTCGAAGTCCAAATCTCGACTTTGAAATGAGAGTTCGGGCGGCTTCTCGAGCACCAGATACGCGCGTCCTTGTGTGGTCGCTTGGAAGTCGAGCGTGCCAAAGAAAGGGAATCGGAAGGGAAGTACTTTGAAAGAGCGGGCAAATAAATATCGACTGAGAGAGGGTGTAGCAGCCGGATTTGGGCTTCTCCCTTTGACGATCTCCCGGGCCGAGGTTTTGCTCAGGATTAGCGCAAGCTCGGCACGCTCGAGCTAAGTTTCAAGCGCAAAGTTGGCCGCTCTCCGCGGGCGGCTTTACTTTCTCAAGCTGCAAGTTACGTCGCTCGACATTCCGCGCCTCACTTGTTGCAAACTTTCATCCTACTCGAAAGGGTATAAAGACGCCTAGCCGTGATTTCGCGTGTGCGTTGTACGACACTATTACACAGTGTGCGTGCGCGCGCGCGCCTGTCTTTGGTTGTACATAGGCCTTATACTTGTGTTCTCTCGAGTGACGTCTTTCACGCGCGCACGGGCGGCCAAGTCGGATTACTCGGTGGCTTGCTGTCTATGCTGACTTTCGGAATGAGCGGCGACTTCTCGCAGTTTTTCCAGCTTTATTGCGCTTCTATTATAATCTTTGCCCCGCGATCAGGATTACTAACGTTTACGGCTATATTCGTACCTGTTTATGTTTACCTTTTTTTATTTGTTATTACATTAGTGACGCCCTAAATCAATTGCACTTGGTTCACTGTTTTTTTTTTTCCTCAAAAATGTTGGCACATGCAGTATCACATAAAACTTATATACGTACTTATATATCAGTATCAATCACAATGTGAATCGGTAAAACCTCGTGAAAAAATGATTTCGATCTGCAATGGGAAAACTCCGCTGATGACTAAAATAAACCAATCTATGGGCTTTTCGGAAAGAGGATGCTTAAAAAATATAATCACAGTATATAAACTGAACTGGCGAGAAGTGTTTATCAGCCGATCATTCCGCAAGTGAGCCGTGTGTATTTTTAAATTAGAGGACGACGTACCGGGAACAAAGTCCATTAAACACGACTAAAATCTTTAATCTGCGCAAAGTCGCGCTCTCTTTGGCTTAATTACCCTTATCACATTATTTTCTTATTCTCACTATAGCCTCGAGCATAGGCGCGTCGAGAGTACGACTATGCGTCTCTGTGGCTTCGATCCATATTTATTTAGCTTTATATTTAATATCGCTCATTGCCCCAAATTCGTTTGGCTTGGCTTTCGTTGTGTAAAGCAATGTTTCGCAACGACGCTTTAGTCAAAGAAACTAGAAGGAGAAGAAAAGAACGAGCGGCAAAGCCGAAAGTCCAGGCGCGAGTCCGGCTGGAGCGAGCTCATCAGCGACGGTGACTGGGGCGTTGGGGCAACTAGCGATCGGGCCTTCCTCAGCGCTGGTGTATGTGGGTGGTGAGGTGCTTGGAGAGGTAGTCGGCGCGGGCGAAGCACTTACCGCACATCTCGCAGTGATACGGCCGCTGACAAATGACAACGTTGGTGCGGGATTATCGCGTGACGGGTGGCAGCCGAGTGGCGCTGACTAGCCGCGAGATACCTACCTCGCCGGTGTGGATGCGCAGGTGGCGCGTGAGGTCGCTCTTGCCGCCGAAGGCCCGGCCGCAGAACAGGCAGACGAAGGGCCGCTCGCCGGTGTGCTTGCGCACGTGCAGCTTGAGGTTCTCCTTGGAGCGCACGCACTTGCCGCAGAACTGGCAGGCGAAGCGGCGCTCCCGGCGCTCGCTGGCCGACTCGTGCTGGTGGTGGTGCGACGACTGCCGGCTGGCCGCCAGCAGGCTCAGACTCGTGCTGGCGACGGCGGCCGCGACGCTGATGGTGGCGCGCTCGCCGGCGTCCTCGTCGGGGCTGCCGGGACGGGACTCGGAGCCGGCCTCCGGCGCCGACTCGTTGGCGTTCTCCTGGAGGCTCGCCGTCTCCGAGCAGGCCGCCTCCTCGCGCAGGCTGCAGTCCACCGGGCTGGCCTGCTCGGGCTCCTCCGCGTCCAGCTGCATCGGGCTCGCGTCGCCGGCGCTGCTCGCGTCCTGCTGCGACGGCTCGCCCGTGCTCGTCACCTGGTCGCTGCACTCGGCGGTCAGGCTCCCGGAATCCCCGGCGCCGCTCGCCGACGGGGCGCGCAGTCGCTCCAGCGCGTGGTTCAGCCGGTGCTTTTTAAATGACTTTAGGTATCTGCAAAGCCATCGACCACCTCCCTTGTAATCCAATTCAGGCCGAGCCCTGGCTTTTCCCGACGACCATTATCTCTGCCGCCGTGCTCGACGTGCTCGACGTGCGAGTATTTCCGAGATAAATCGCGTGATCGATGTATTGCAACGTTACGGCCCGCGCGAGGAAAGACTTTTCATGGAAAATTATGCTTTTATCGAAATATACGACACTCGTTGTACTTTTAACGCGCGTGCACATAGAATCGAAACGAGGCATTTTCAATGGGAATACGCGAGCTTTTCACTTAGCCTCGTCATCGCATGACGGCATAGCTCTATTTCAGTAGAAGAAACATACATAGAGTCAGACGTAAAGTATTCAGCGTCGCCCGGTAGAGCTGCTGTTAATAAAGCATCGTAATGTGCACGCAAGAGGCCGATATATAGCTCGGACACTTTGCGCACAGTTTTTACAGTTTTTAGTTGGAGGCGGCGCGCAAGCTAACATCACGAGAATGACCTGTAAGCTCTCACCTGAATTGCATTCCACATACGTCACACCTGTCATTTCAATGCAGGGGGATGCGTTTGCGGGAGGAGAGTCGGCCAACGCAACGAGAATCGGCGAGTCGTCGAATTGCGAAAGGATTGCACACGACACAAAAAGAGTTGAGGTAATTGAGAAAGGGCGTGAAGAGGAGATAGAAAGAGAGCGATACGCACGTGAAGGTTTTCTCGGCGGGCAGCCGGGCGCGATGGTTCTGCTCGCGATGCTTCACGTAGGCCGAGCGGTAGCGGTAGCGCTGGCCGCACTGCTCGCAGGTGAACGGCTTCTCGTCGTAGGCCCGGCCGTCGTGCTGCAGGATGGCGTGCTGCTCGAGCAGCCAGCTGGACGGGAAGCTCGCCAGGCAGACGCCGCAGCGCCTGGCCAGACCGGCGAGGCCGGCGGCGAAGCCCGCCGAGGACAGCAGCGAGGACGGCCCGCCCTCGAGCTCGCCGGCCGCCGCCGCCGCGGCCGCCAGGCCGGCCCAGCCGGACGACTCCAGGCCTAGGGCTAGCGATACCTGTGCACAACATTCGGAAGTGGTAGCCGCGGTAGGCCGCTTGCTTTATCCTTCAGTTTTCGTTATCGATTTCTCGCGACCTTTTGTATTTCTCATGGCTCGTTGCTAATCGTGCTACGCGATCATTGCTAATCGTGCGCTGCTCGTGTCAGCGTGCAAACGAGACAATCGTGTGCCACCGATATTGCCACACATATTAATCATTGCATTACGTCGGCTACCGGCTGAAAGCTCGTTGAAAATTCCTCCGAGTGACGATTCCTCGCGAATGATTTCTTTTACTCCGGAATAGCGGCTCGCCGTTCTTACAAGTCGGTAACTTACATATTACATTCGTATACTTACATTGGTTGACAGAGCGATCGTTGGACCAAATATCTTCGGCAGAGAAATAGAAATAATATTCGATTTACAAGAGCATCAGATATTTAAGCGTCTTATAAAGAAAAACTAACTTTACTGTCAAGCACAAAATTTATTTGCCAAAAATACGAAGCTGTAGTTTTGGAAATTATTGTAATAACAAGTCTTTGCGTGCACTACACTAATGAGCAAGAGGATCTATATATAGGAATGAAAAGGGCATATGAAAATCAAAAAACTTGAAAACATAACGTTAACACAAACAGTTTGCAGTTTTTTATTTCACAAATTGTTAATTTACAACTATGATATGCATTCGTTCATGAAGATTCTAAGATTCTAAGAACCGAAAGAAACTCGTCTCTTTATTTGTTTTCCCGTACGATGACCAATGAGGTAACAGTGCTCGTACACAAGCTTCGCGCGAGAATTACTTTCGAGTCCAGAGCATCGAGGATCAATGCAACTGCCAGGCCGAAAAAGAAAACTTTATTTATTGGAACATAGCGAATCTCCCGTACGATAAATCATCTCGTTTAAAAAAATAAAATGGCTTGCAGTGTCCTCCTCACTGGAGACTCGATGCTGCAACTTCGCAATTCAGCTTAGCAGTCGATCGTTTGTTTGTTTTGTTCGCTTACAAATAACATTGTTTTCGAAATGGGCGACGAGCGCATACTTTGGAGAACGTTTCTCTAAAAACAGCATCATTTTGTTTTTGACATGACTTGTTGCCCCTGCTTCCTCGTAATTCTATTGTGCTAGAAATGTACAATTTAAAAAAAATTTGCCTACGCGCCGAAACGAGTCCGACCAATTCAGCAAGTATCTTTATTATTTATTTTTTTTTTTTGTGTTTTATATTTTTCACATTAAGCCCACGTCCAACTAAAGTCACGCAAAACGAGAGACGTTGTTGTTTTGGTTTGTTCGTCATGGTTTTGTTCGCTCTTACGCATGCACACTCTCATTCTTCCGCATATACATCACACACGAGTTGGTTCCGAATCGGAAAAATACAACCGAAAAAAGTCGCGTTCAACCCGGGGTAGGTACAGTATAAATCGGATTTTGCAAGTAATACGCACAACGTAAGTATATGTCTTGATGAGCGACGAGAAATAGAGATATCAATATTTATGTCGAGCACCTGATTATCTAAGAAGGTCACACTGTTACAACGATGTGTATATTTATTTAGTATAACTATTTTTGTTGTTTTTTTTTCTGGTAACTCGGAAAAGTGGATCATATACAGGCAGAGAGTATTGTAATTAAAAAAATATAGTTGCTATTTCAATATAAAATGTATCAACGTATTATGTCTATTTGTCCCTATATATGTCATGTCCTTCTCATTAATTATATTCTATAACGGCGGTTGCGGCATCTGTGTGAAAAATTATAGTTTAGGGGATTATGCATCTTATGATGAATATGTTTTCTCCACTTCTCCGAGAAATCTTAAAGTCTACTGATTGCTCCCTGTATATTATTTGTTGAAATATATATAGCTGTACGATCAATTTCAATTCAACAAATGAAACGGCCAATAAAAACTATCGGTAATTGTTATCTTCTCTAATTATCGTCGCTCGTTTAATGCAATTCACAAGTCGCTCGCGTGCACCTGCATGCACAGCTCAACTCTATGACACGTATATACGAATTTAAAAACGGAGCGCAACTCGCTCCGCCCGTTATTACGTTATTTTTTAAATTTATTTTCCATTGTTCACTGTAAAATATTTTATTCGCTCGATATTCATCACAATGTGGTTGAATTCTGAAAACCGAAGATATTGAAAAAGGCTGCAATTGGCACAGTGTAAACTAAACTCGGTTGATATCGCGAGCCGAACTACAGTCGTCAAAGAGCCCACTTATTCTGCTGCCTTCGCCCTATTGGATCAAAATCATCTCTAGGATATGGTTAAAAAATTTACATGGTCTATTCGATCTTCAAAATGCTGTAGAATATTACTGGTCGTAATTATGCATTGCAAACCTCTTTACGACAGTGTCTGCACCGTAGCGAATAAGAATGGCTTGTCTAACCTGTAGTTCTGCTAGCGACACCTTTATGTCGTAGATTAACGGATGGGTAAATTGGATGGCCGGTATATTTGCGTTTATTATTTTATCTGTTACGGGTGTGTGGGTATCTGTTACTGTATTGCTCTGTATAATACCTGTTTCATATTTACCAGTGAGGCTATGTATACATTATGCAGCGGGTTGATCCGATTTGCTTTCCGCGCGTTTAGTATGAAAAAATATTTTTTCGTTTTCTTCATCTCCGCATCACTTTTTTTTATCTTTTTTTTTCTTTTAATTTTTCTTGCAAGTTTACGTACGTATCGATAATAACGTTCATCGATTCATCGCTCTTTTTCATTCCTCGCGACGCTGCGATCCGCGGATTTTTTTTTTTTTTTTAATAATCGTTTATAGCATTAATTTGTTTGCTTTAATCTCGTTTAAAAAAGTTATCATTGCAATCTGGCTAATTTGCGCGCTTCGTCCACGGCGAGCAGCTCCATCCATTTTATTTGTTATTACTCTTGTTCGCCATGATATTGTACAAATATTGTTGTAAGAGCTCCGTACAAACGTTATCTGTATTGTATTCGTCGTAGAAAAACATAACGATTCTCGCATAAGTTCGTTACAACGTTCTCTCTCTCTCTCTCTCTCTCTCTCTCATGCACACAGACACAGCCAGGCTCGTCCGTAGAGTCAACTCGGCTCGTTCGCTCACGCTCGCCTCTGCACAGTACATCGCTAGCGTATATACGCGCTCACGTCTTTTTATCGCCACGTACACTAACCCTTTTCTTTCTTTTTTCCATCACGCTCGCCTACTTCCTTTTTTTCACTCTCTCTCTCTCTCTCTCTCTCTCTTTGATTCGCCCTTTCTCTCGCTCGTTCACCTCTCTCATCTCTCTTTCTACTACGAAAAGCTTATTGATGCGCGTTTAATCTCTTTTTACTCACGTCCGTAAGTGTCTTACACGTGCGTGCGTATGTGCAGGCTGCGCGCTGGCCATGTGCACGGTCCTCTCCCTTTACCTGCGGATATTTTTCCTTTTCATTGGCTCTTATATTATTTTTTATCGCTTGATTTTTTCATCGCGCCGCTCGCACGGTTTATTTTTACGCGGGCGCGTCCCATACCGCAGCTCGCAGCCCACACTGTGCATGTGTCTGCTGCCGTCTTTCAGAGGTTTACGTGTTATTTTGCATAAGAGACCAGCGAGGCTGCAATGCGGGATTGCCAATTTCCTCCGCCCGACTACTTTTGTTTTGTTGTTTTTTTTTTAGCTCCGCGCACGATGGATGATTCTTTTTATCGTTCGCCAGAGCGTGAACCCACTGAAATACAAATAGTAATCTGTACATTTAACTGTTCGCTACGCTTCTTTTTCGCGAACTGCCGCGACTTTGCCCGGAAAAAAAGCAACGATTATTTGAAGCACCGTTTTAATGCTCGTTTCTCCGGTGCATTTCGCGCGATCTATTGCCAAGCGCAGCATCGCAACACGCGTGTACTCCTCAAAGAGAGAGTAAGTAAGCCAATTGGTTTTTTCATCGAGCGTCAGCGAAGTCGTATAGAGCATGGGGGGGGGGGGGCGTTCTCCGCGAAAAGGGTTTCGACGGCGACGGTTCGGTATTCGGAGATCGATGTAGGGAATCCCTATTGACACGAGCGTTTCGCGCGCGGTGGCGCGGCGAAGGCAGGAGCCGAACAAAGGAGAAACAAGCAAGACGACGGAGAGGCGCAGAGGAGGCCGGCCGCGAGCATGCTCGGCGTAGGTTGCGGGGTGCCGGCGGGGCGCATCGCCGCCTGGGATTTTCAAAAAGCTCTCGAGCTGGCGGACGCGTGCGAGCACGAGGAGGCAAGGGGGCAAGTTACATCGAAGCAGGCAGCGCAGTCGGTTCGCGTGACCGGGTCAGCGGCGGCGGCGGAGGCGCGCGCGCGCGTACTAGGTAACTGGGTGGAGCGGCGGCCGACAAAGAAGAGAGGGAGAAGGCGCTGCGCATCGTTAGGGGAAGACTCTCTCTCTCTCTCTCTTTCTCACGGTGTGTATATAGGTATACGCAAAGTCGTGCTGCTGGCTCGAGCCAGTGCTATATAGAGCTCCGTGTAGACAGCAGGGAGGCGAGTTACGCGTAGGCTCGGACTACTGTCTCTCTCTCTTTCTCGTGTGCGTAGGTGTGTAGGCGTTGCTGGTAGGCGTGTCTTGGGGCGGCGCCAACCGCTCTTCGACTGACCTCGCCAAGCCGGCTCCCTCTTAGTTTGTGTGCGTGTGTGTGTGTGTATGTGTGTGTGCCTCTCTCTCTCGCAAACACGCGTGTCACCCGCGAGAATTCAGACTTTCCCTCCTTGCTGCACGCCACCGCAACGACCGAACTCTGTCTTTTTCTCTAGAGACAACGTCGCTGTACGCGCGCGACTGGCGAGCCACCGATTTTCCTTGTTTTGTGTTCTTGCCGCGCGATCGTTTATCATTTGACTCCTTTGTACCGGAGTGCAAAGTGCCACTGACATTCGAAACTGGCGGTTCGTACGTAAAAACAGTTGCCTCGTAGAACGACGCATACGTTGAATGCGAGTAAGACGCCTTAGGTGAAAATGATCAATTTGCCAATTCGGGCAGACAGCGCAGAACAAACATTTGCAAATGGCCGGGTGCGCACACGGCGATTAATCTAGAAAACCGCAGCGAGACGTCAATGGGTTGGCGGATGTGTGCGTGCGGCTCGGTTAGCTCGCGGGGAGGAGTGCAAGGCGCATGAAAAATGCCGACAGCGCGCGTGATCGCGGCCACGAAAGGGTCTGATATGGCGATGGGTACCAGCCACCTGCCCCTATACACGTGCAGTTTCGCTTGCGTATATAGCTTTGTAAGCGTGCACCGCCAGGCGGTGGGAGGAACTCGTTAAAAGCGCGCACGAAAGCTCCTTTTCAAGCTGTGTGCGCGATGGATTTTTAAACGACCCTCGCGCGCATG